TGTTATGATGCTGTTGTTTATCATTTTGTTTAGATCAAGTAGGGTTTGCTTTATGCATCTGGGCGCACCTGTGTTATGTGCATAGATATTTGGAATTGTTATGTCTTCTTGTTGAATTGTTCTCTTCACCATTATATAATGATTGCCTTTGTCCTTATTTACTTTTGTTGATTTTAAGTGTATGTTATCTGATATGAGAATGGCTATACTAGCTTTGTTTTGGTTTCCACTTATATGGAATATTGTTTTCCATCTCTTCAGTTTGAGTCTGTATGGATCCTTGTGAATTATATGTGTGACATCATCATAGCCCACTGTAACCTTTAACTCCTGGGCTCAACTGATCCTTTTGCCTCAGCCTCTCAAGTAGCTGGGACCAAAGACCCATGCCATTACACATAGCTAATTTTTCTGTTTTTTTGTGGAGACAGGTCTCTCTCAAAACTCTGATCAGGCTGATCTTAAACCCTGGGCCTCAATTGATCCTTCTGTCTCAGCCTCCCCAAATGCTAAGATTACAGTGTCCTAGTGTTTCAAATAATTCTCTGGAGGCATGTGTTGCTCTGTTGATTAATTTAATCAAACCCAAGATCTTTGGGAGGATCAGTTCTTGAGGTCAGTGTTTGTGTCTGATATTTGTTCTAACCCCAGGGGGACTCCTTCCACCATTCTCCTAACCTGGCTATCTCCCATAATCTAGCCTGATCTTTACCAAATCCCTGAATCTCCTTATAACTTTCTTCTCCCCCAACTTCCAGTTTTTGAGAGCATCTTTAGGGTTGAACTTCTCCATGACTTATTGCAAATGATGTCAATTTTATGGGAAAAGATTGGGAGCTATTTATGACATGCTTCTCCTCCACCCCCCAGGCAAAATCTTTAAGCCAGGGTTCTAGAACTAGAAGTGGAGATAGCAACCTTGTTTTTCTCTGAGTGACACTCCCACTTTAGGAGCTGAACGCTTAATGGAATAGGGGGATAGTAGCATTAGATCATTTTAGCCTGCTTCTCTTAATGTGGAACCATAACTTTGCTAACCAGAGTAAGTGTGTTGGTGGACCCAGTATTCTCAATGACATTATATCCAAGGTAGAACCTCTGTTTTATTAGTGGGGAATGGATGAAACAAGGGTTCCCCTACCTCCCTAATTATACTCACCCAGAATGCATTTCAGCAACAAGTATTTAAGCCCTCCATCTGGAACCATAGGGGAGAGTGAACCCTTTGTTCTAGAGTGCACTAATCTTGGGTGTTGTTTGCACAAAGGAAGTGGTTCAGGTTCAGATAGTTTCACTTCTCTTATCAAATTTTTTTTAACCATAGGCTCTCTTAAGTAGATATTTCTTTATTTTTTGTATACCCTTATGACTATTTCCAGAGGCATTACATTCTTGTTTTTTTGTTTTGTTTTGTTGTTTGTTTTTAAAGGCAGATTCTCACTCTGTTGCCTAGTCTAGAGTGCTGTAGCATCAGCCTAGCTCACAACAACCTCAAACTCCTAGGTTCAAGAGATCCTCCTGCCTTAGCCTCCTAAGTAGTTAGGACTACAGGTGCCCACCACAAAGCCTGGCTAATATTTCTATCTTTTTTAGTAGAGATGGGGTCTCATTCTTCCTCAGTCTGGTCTTAAATTCCTGAGCTCAAATGATCCTGCCTCAGCCTCCATGAGTGGTAGAATTACAGTCATTAGCCAGCACTCCAGGCCTAAATCCTTGTTTTAAAAATATTTTTCACCACTTTCACTAGGGGACCGGTCTATAGAATTGACATGTCATCAAGCTGGAATTCTCTCCTGGCTTTCTTTCTATAATGTCTTTTTATCTGGCTTATTTTAAGATTTTCTCTTTTGTGTTACCTTGTATCTATTTAAATGGGAAGTATATTAGTATTGTTCCCTTTGTATTTCTTCTGAATGAGGTTTTTTGGGATTCTTAGATCTGTAGGATTATAGGTCTCAGCAAACTTGGAAAATATTAAGATATTATTTCTTCAGTTTTTTTCCTTTTTGTTCCCATCTTTATCCCACTCTAGAATTCCAATTACATGTGTGTTAGACTGCTGGATATTATTCCAGAGGTTAATGAAACTCTGTGCAGAGTTTTCAATTTTTTTTTAATACTTCATTTTGGATAAATTCCTTTGCATACATTTTAAGTACACTAATTCTTTCTTCTCTAATGTTAAACTATTGTTACTCATATTAAGTAAATTTTTCATTTCAGATACTGTATTTCTTTGGGGGGAAATTTTATTTTCACCTTATTATATTCATATTTTTCTTTACTTTTTTGAATATATCAAGTATGGCTAGTATGCTTCATTTTAGCACACTATCTAGTACTTTTCTGTTTTTCCTCCAACACTGTTGCATTTTACATGTATAAGCTTTGCACTTTGTTAAATTTATTCCCAAGTTTCGGGCTGTTCATTGATAGTGTCTAGAAATACAATTTTTTTTGTATCTTGGTCTTATATCCTGCAGCCTTGCCAAACTCATTTATTATTTCTCATATTTTTGTGTGTGTGTATATATATGTATTCCTTAGAATTGTCTTTGTACACTACTCTGTCATTTGCAATTGTGAGTGTCTTCATTTCTGACCTAAATACCTTTTATGTATTTTTCTTGCCTAATTGCCAGGCTAGTACTTTTAGTACAATGTTGAATAGAGGTGGTGATTGTGGATATCTTTATCCTGTTCTTGATCTTAGGTAAATATTAATTTTTCACCATTAAGTGTGATGTTAGATATAGATTTTTCCTAAATATGCCTTATCAAGTTGAGTTCTCTTTTATTCCTAGATTAAGTGTTTTTTTTTAGATTAAGTGTTTCTATCATAAAAGATTATTGGGTTTTGTTAAATGCTTTTTCTGCATCTGTTGAGATGATTGTATTTTTCTAATATGCTTATGTTTAACCTTACTTGGTATTTATGTGTGCATGAAACTATATTATGAATTCATAAATTCATTATTACTTCTAGAAAATTAGAGATGGTATATATTCAACCCTTTGTAATTCTGGAGATCAATTTCAGGACCCTCCATAGACATACTATGTTAATTTCCTATATACTGTAGTGGTTAGTGTGCCTATTTGGGGGAAATTTTAAAATTATGAACTATAACATCTACAGAGATGAATTTTACATGATGCTTGTGATTTGTGTAAAAAATAAGCAACAGGGTAGGGGTGATTATGGATATAGAGGAAAAAAGATTGGCTATGAGCTGCTAATTGTTGAAACTGGATCATGAATAAATTTTGTCTACTTATGTGTATTTAAAATATTGCATGAGAAAAGCTTAATAAGGCCAGGCACAGAGGCTTACAACTGTAATAGTAACACTCTGGGAGGCAGAAGTGGGAAGATTGCTTGAGCTCAGGAGTTTGATAGCAGCCTGAGCAAGAGCAAGACCCCCATCTCTACTACAAATAGAAAACCTAATTTATAATCTCAGCTCCTGGAGAGATTATGGCAGAGGCTGGGAGTTTGGGGTTGCAGTGAATTATGGTGATGCCACTGTACTCTACTTGTTGCTACTTGACTGAGCAACACTCTGTCTCAAAAAAAAAAAGTTTAATGTAAACATGAAATATATAAAAGAGTGTGTAAAGCATATTTATGTAGATTGATAGGTAATTATAACTTAGATAGTAGTAACCCCATTGGTTAAGAATTAGAACTTTGCAGCTCTTCAGAAACCACCATATGTCTCTCCCTAAATTATAACTTTCTTCCGTCATTATTGCTAACTATTATCATAACATTTCTTTTTTGTTTTTTTTTTTTTTGCATAGGCACCGCCCTATCATAACATGTCTTGCTTTCCTTTACAGTTTTACCATCTATGTATATATCCTTAAATAATATAGTTTAGTTTTGCCCACAATAATTTTATATAAAAGACACATGTATTATAGTGTATGTAGTATATTGTTTATGCATTTTTCTTCTTTCATTATAATGAAGTTGGTTCAGCTATTAAGAAATTCATCTGTTAAGAAGTTGGTATAAATTCCAATATCTTGGATGTTTGGTACTAGAAGAATACAGTATTTCCTTCTGGATTTTCTTGACCAAAATAAAAAAGTTCCTTATACAGAAGAATCTCCATAGTTGACCACCTTCCTACATTGACTACCTCCTTAAGTTGACTTAATTTTCATAGACTGGACATGTACCACATGGGCATGTTAGAATAGGAGGCCGAGTTATGTTGAGAACTTCCATATGTTGACCAGTTTGTTATATTCCTTTGGGTGGTCAACTTATAGAGCTTTTATTGTATTTCTTTTCCTAAAGATTGAATTAGAATCTTTAGTGAGACATCAGTGATAGCAAAAGTAGATATTTATCTGCTACACACATTGTCACAACATATGGGTTTATTTCTTTATTTATTTATTTTGAGACAGAGTCTCCCTTTGTCACCCTTGGCAGAGTGCCGTAGCATCACAGCTCACAGCAACCTCCAACTCTTGGGCTTAAGCGATTCTCTGGCCTCAGCCTCCCAAGTAGCTGGGACTACAGGCACCTGCCACAGTGCCTGGCTATTTGTTGTTGTTGTTATTGTTGTCATTTTTGTTTAGTGGGCCTGGGCTGGGCTCAACCCGCTAGTCTCAGTGTATGTGGTTGGTGCCCTAGTCACTGAGCTATGGGTGCCGAGCCCATATGGGTTTATTTCTAAATAAAGAGAAATGGGTTAAACTCTAGGGATAGTTTAAAAAAATAATTATGGAGGGAAATTCTACCTTGTGATATGTTAAGATTTTGATGTTATCAATGGCATTGTACTAATATTTACTTGTAGACTGGCAGATTACTTTGTGAAAAGATAAGTGAAAAAAAATTGTGCAATAAAAAAATTTTAGTGATTTAGCAAAAGGAAATGAGTTCTTATTTATATGATTAAGAATTTCAACACAATACATTAGTATAAAATCACTGATGAATTATAATATTCTAATCATTTTTTAAATATCTTTTTTTAAAGTTTATAGAAAAATTTTTCAATCTTGCCTCAGAAATAATGCTTTTGCCTCAGTGGGTTCATTACCCTATGGTGCGTTTGGATTGTGAAGATTTGAAGACAGGCCTGACAAATAAAGCAAAAGCCTTTGCAAACATATTATTAAATGACATAGCTTCAAAATATAGAAAAGAAAATGAATTGTAAGTAGAATTAATTCCCAAACTCAGTATTATGGGACTAAATATAATTTTTGTTAAAACAACTCTTGTTGAAAAACTAAAAATATGTAAGTACTTACAACTTTTCCTCCATAGCTGCTTCCTGTGGTTCCTTTGTAGGCCTCATCAGGCTGAGTTCTTTTTCTTTTTTTTTTTTTTTGAGACAGTCTCATTGTGTCACCATCACCATAGAGTGGTGTGGCATCACAGCTCACAGTAGCCTCCAACTCTTGGGCTTAAGCAATTTTCTTGCCCCAGCCTCCCAAGTAAGCTGGGACTACAGGCGCCCGCCACAATGCTCAGCTATTTTTTTGTTGTACTTGTCATTGTTGTTTCAGCTGGCCCAGGCCAGGTTCAAACCCACCAGCTTCAGTGTATGTGGTTGGAGTTGTAACCACTATGCCATAGGCACCTAGCCAGAATGAGTTCTTTTTTAAAATTTGAGACAGTGTCTCACTCTGTTGCCCCTATCTAGAGTGTCATGGCGTCAGCCTAGCTCACAATAATCTCATACTCCTGGGATCAGGCAATCCTCCTTCCTCAGCCTCCTGAGTAGCTGAGACTACAGGTGCCTACCACAATGCCTGGGCTTTTTCTATTTTAGTAGAAAGGGGGTCTCACTCTTGCTCAGGCTGGTCTGGTACTTCTGATCTCTAGCAATCCTCCCATCTCAGCTTTTTAGAATGCTAAGATTACAGTTGTGTGCCTCAGCACCTGGCCAGTTCTTTTTGTTTTGTACTGTTTGAGAAAAGTTTTAAGGCAACCCAGGATTAAAAAAAAAAAAAAATTGAAGTAAGACAGTATTTGAATACAGACTGCATAATAATGAAAGGATGATAGAGTTTCTGTGATATTGGGCAGTTCTGGGATCATTCCTGACCTCAATATTTACTTGTTGTATCACCTAGCTTATTTTCCTTATCCTTAAAATGGAGGCAATGATATTTACTTTGCTGGATCGCTATAAAATAGGACTCATAAACTAGTAGACTGCTAGCTAGGGTGTCATGCATATATGTTTTACTCATTTCACACTGTTTTCTTCTGTTTAAACAGATTTAGGATTTGCTATCAATATTTTAAAATTAGATTTATATACACACAAATGTACATACTCTTTGTATTTCTTACTTTTCTGAAAAATTGGGAAGACCATGCCATATTGGACCTGCAGTGGAAAATGAAGCTAAGAAACAGCTTTCCCCTTTAGACAAGGAATGTGTATTGTGATTTGTTCACCCAGTGATCAAGCTTCATCATCCATTTATCTAACTAATTTGTTATGTGTGTGGCCCCAGAAGTATCTGAGTTTATAACTTCCGTAAAGGTTAAAACTGATGTATGTGTAGCACCTATCACAGTGTCTGGACATGGTTAGCTATTATGTTTATTTTTCTGGAAGCAAAATGAGAAAATTCTATGCTTTGGAGTTATAAAGACCTGACTTTGAATCCTAACTCTGCCATTAACTAGTTTTCTAACTCTTGCCAAGTTGCTTAATTTCCTTGAGCCTCTGTTTCCTACTACGTTAACTGTGGACAGTAACACTGTCCTTAGAGTACTGTTAGGATCACAAATGGCATTTGTAAAGCATCCAGCCTCTTGCCTGGCAAAGAATAAGTACCCAGTAGATATTTTTTAAATGAATAAACAAATATATGAGTGTCATATATTTATCAGGCATGCTTTGTTTATGCATGCAAGTGTTTATCAGGCATGCTTTGTACTAAAGTATACTTCACAAAGAGATATCAAAAAGGTTAAAGTATTAGACCTCATCCCTTTCTTGAGAGTTTTAACCCCTCTCATGAGTAAGAGCAATGACAGTGCCATAGTTAATAAAAAGTGGTTTATATTTGGTATAACTTTTTTTGATATTTATTTTTAGAATTTCTTTGGTTTTTTTGGAAAATTTTATTGCTTCCAACAAAATAACTATGTTTTATTTTAAATGCATGATATAAGAGCAACTGAAAAGTCCAATTTTCTCCACCTGGTTCATTCTTTAATTCTTTCCTGTTTAAATTCTGTAGTTGAGATCGGTAACATCAAAAGGAGGAAATGTTTACACTGGGTTAAATACAAGGTCATTAAAGAGTAATTTGGTTACTTTGTAGTTTGGTTTAGCATCTGCTTAGACCACCTTGCTGTCATAATTTTGGGGTTTTTTTTTTTTGAGACAGAGCCTCAAGCTGTCCCCCTGGGTAGAGTGCCATGGCATCACATCTCACAGCAACCTCCAACTCCTGGGCTCAAGCGAATCTCCTGCCTCAGCCTCCCAAGTAGCTGGGACCACAGGTGCCCGCCACAACGTCCGGCTATTTTTTGGTTGTTCTTGGTTGCAGCCGTCATTGTTTGGCGGGCCCGGGCTGGATTCGAACCCACCACCTTGGGTGTACGTGGCTGGTGCCTTAGCCACTTGAGCTACAGACGCTGAGCTGCTGTCATAATTTTGTTTGCTTCCTTTTCATTTGTTGAAATATCTCTCCCCAGGGGATCTGCAAATGATAATGCATCTGTCTTTGTGCATTATCCATATTAATGCTTTCCGTGTCTAATATTCAAGATTTTACTATAAAGTCCTCTATGACCTGAGTCTTACCTCTCAAACTTCATACAAGGTCCTCTTCCTTGTATTCATTCATGTTGACTTGTTTGCCATTCCTAAGTTATGCCATGCTTATTGCCACCTCCAGGGCCTTTGGTGTTTTTTCTTCCTAGAAGCTCTTTTCCTATTATTTGCATAACTCGCTTTTTTCTTCTCTCGCCTTGAATATCATCTCCCTAGAAAGGCCTTCCCTGACCACTCTGTGTAAAATAATGGCCACTTCTCTACACTCTATCATTCTTTTCCCCTTTACCTTGCTTTATTTTTTATTCATAGGGCCTTTTACTACCAAAAACGTTGCGTATTTATGTGCTGCTTTTGTCTCTCTCCTCAGCTCGAGTATAAGCTTTATGAGGCCAAGGTCTTGTTTGCTACCATCTACAATGCTTAGAACTTTGCTTAGCACAGTGTGGGTACTCAACTGTTCATAATGAATGAATAAGTATAATTTCCCACATATATTCTCAAATTCTTATTTGAACTAAAATTTATTTTTAAAATGACTTACCTCTTTTATAGTTTGTTTTTACTTTTTTTTCCTGATAGTCTCATAATAGCATGATAATACAGATATTTTAAGGCACAGGAGAAATATTCTATGAAATGTAGCTTTAGCTGAATAATGTCTATAGGATGGATATCTAGGTTTATACTTACATAGGATATTCTAGGAGAATTGTTGATTTTTATGTTCTATGCCACACTGCTTATCTAGGTATTCAAGAGGGTTGAAGAGATCACTAGTTTTTTTAAAATATGCTACAATTTCATATGAAAATATTATCTTACTTTTGTATATTTTATTGATATATGGTGTATACTGAATTGTATCAGATAAGCTTAAACATTTTCAGATATTTTAGTGAATTAACCAGTTATTTTTAGGATATCACAATTTTTGTTTTATAATAATCATAACAGCACATTTATTGAGTATGATATAACATTAATTACCATAAGTGTAATAAAGCAGAGTTTTATGTCAGCATTTGCAGTGAATTTGAGGCAATTAAAGAGCGTGCTCTAAAAATCCCTGAGACAACAGAAGAAATGATGGATATGATCTCTTATATAGAAAGAGCCCGAACTGTAGGAATTGTAGAGTTGAGTTCAAGGATCCAGGTAAGAAATTTTAATTTACATGATTTGAATAGATTTTTATTGTGAAATATGATATACATATTGCAGATGTGTAAAACATATAGTTAAACAAATAGCTATTATGTGAGCAGCTATGTTGCTACCACCCAGGTCAAGTAATAGGATATTGCCAGCACTCCAGAAGGCCTTTCAGTATAACTTTCTGATCACAGCATCTTCTTTCCCTCTCCTCCTCCCTTCTCCAGAGGTTTCCATTTGATTTTTACGGTAGTCATATCTTTTATTGTCTTTAGTTTCACCAACTGTGTGTGTACCTTAAACAATATAGTTTTAAAAATATATATTTTTTCAAGGGGTAAGCATTAGGGAAAAAGTTAAATACAGGTATATTTTTTCTTTTGTAGTATCTACAGTTCATAACATGCTTATGCCTTCTCCAGCACAAGGTTATATGTGTATTCACCTATATTTTACTCTCCTTCTTTGTTTAAAAAGCCATAAATTGTACAGTTTCAAGTATTGTGACGTAAACAGCCAGTAATTACTACCCAGGGAAAGAAGTGGAACCCTACCAACACTAGGGTTGGGTGCATCATAATCCCCTTTTCTGGATGTTAGCACTATCTTCACTGTCATAATATTTATTTATTTGCTCCTATTTATAGTTCTATAATCTAAATATGCATTTCTAATCAATATACTATATTTTGTCATATATGATACTCACTTTTTTGCCTGAACTTTTGAGAAAAAAAAAAGGATGCACATTATGCATGGGTAATACTAATTCCTTATCTACATACTGGTAAATGTTTTTAATTATTTGATTTATGCTTATACATTAAAAGTATAACTCTAGAAAGCGATAATGGGATCCATATGTAAAATAATACCCTGGAAATGGTATCCATATGTAAAATAATACCCTGGATTATAGTAATTATTTTGTTGAACTTATGACAAACTTGCCAAAGAAAGCATTTTTGGCTAATGAAGAGTGGCGTATTTCTCTTTGTATACTTTAGGTGGGAGCTAGCAATCTAGCTAATATTTTTTAAAAATTCCTTTATAACACAAAAAACCAAATACTTAAATATAAACAAATAAAAATTAAAACAAAAGATTATTTCCCTGAAATTTTGGGTCAAAAACATGGATGTGCATTATACAAGGCAAAACATGGTAGTTAATTTGTGTCTGATTCTGATCTTTATGTAAAGGAAGTCATATAGTTTATATATTTTTTGCATCTTGTCAGCATTATGTTGTTGGCTCCTTATCTTTTGTTTTTTATTACTATCTAATATTCCATTCCACATTGTATCACTATAGGATTTATTTTTAAAATTTTACTGTTCTGCATATTTGTTTCTATAATACTTTTACTATTATTAGCAGTGCTTCTGGAAACATTTTTGTACATGTATCCTGGTGCATATATACATCAACTTCTCCTAAGTGTTATGGATATTGTTTCCAATTCCATCCAAGTCACTGTGAAAGATATTTCATTCTTTTTTATGGTTGAGTAGTATTTTATGGTATAACATTTTCTTTTTCCACTCATCAGTTGATGGGCACTTAGGTTGATTCCATATCTTTGCAATTGTGAATTGTGCCGCTATAAACATATTAGTGTGGCTTTTTGATGTGATGACTTCTTTCCTTTGGCTAGATCTCCAGTAGTGGGATTGCTGGATCAAATGGTAGGTCTGTTTTTAGGTCTTTGAGGAATTTCCATATTGGTTTTCCTAGAGGTAGTACTAATTTACATCCCCACAAGTAGTGTAAAAGCATTTGCGTTTCACCACATCTGCACCAACATCTGTTTTTATTTGACTTTTTAATACTGGCCATTCTGACAGGGGTAAGGTAGTATCTCATTGTGCTTTACTTTTATTTTTATTTTGAGACAGAGTCTCACTCTGTCACCTTGGGTAGAGTGCCGTGGCATCATCATAGCTCACAGCAACCTCAAACTCTTGGTTGGGCTCAAAAGATCCTCTTGCATCAACCTCCAAAGTAGCTGGGACTACAGGTGCCCACCATAATATGTGGCTAATTTTTTTTATTTTTAGTAGAGGCAGGGTCTTGGTTTTGCTCAGTGGGGTCTCGAACTCCTGAGCTCAAGCAATTCACCTATCTGGACTTTCTAGAGTGCTAGGATTACAGGCCTGGTTTTGGTTTTTATTTTTAAAGGCAAAGTCTTACTCTATCACCCAGGCTGGAGTGCAGTGGCATTGTCATAGCTCACTACAACCTTAAACTCCTGGGCATAACTGACTCTCCTGCTTCAGCCTCCCGAGAGTAGCTGGGACTACAAGGTGTACATCACCACACAGCTCATTTGTCTATTTTTTGTACAGACAGTGTCTTACTATGTTATTTAGGCTGGTATCAAACTCCTGGCCTCAAGCAACTGCCCCCACCCTGCCTTGACCTCCCAAATTGCTAAGATTATAGGTGTGAGCCACCATGCATAGCTTTAGATTTTCTTTGTTTTTGATAACCTTGACATTTTTGAGGAATATTAGTTAGTTATATTGCAGGATGGCCTTCTGTGGGAATTTGTCTGAGGTTTTTACTTGTGATAATACTAGGTTTGGGGGAAGGTAATCACAGAGGTAAAGTGCCATTTTTATCACAATATATCAAAGGTATATAATCAACCTGATTTATCACTGTTGGTGTTGGCCTTGATCACCTGGTTGAAATAGCATTTGTTAGGGCTTTCCATTTTTCCCCCTTTCCATTTTATACTCTTTGGAAGGAAATCATTTTATGCAGATTCTAATTAAGAATTGAAAAGGTTTGTTTCCTCTCTTTTAGGATGGACAATCTACATAATTTATTTGCAATTCTTCAGCTTTAGAGATTTGTCTCTTTCCCTAGCTTATTAATTTATTCAATCATTTATTTATATTATGTCAGTATGAATTCTTGGATATTTACTTTAGACTAGTTTATCTGGATATTATTTTGGAGTATCTACATATACCCTAATATAACTTGCAAATAATGACAGTTTTGTTTTGTGCTCATCAAACATTACACATTTATTTATTTATTTATTTATTTATTGCAGTTTTTGGCTGGGGCCAGGTTTGAACCCGCCACCTCTAGTATATGGGGCCGGCACCCTACTCCTTTGAGCCACAGGCGCCGCCCCAAACATTACACATTTACCAAATTTATTTTTTTTGCTACAGTGAGCTGACTGGAATAACCTCTAGTACAATGTTTAAGAGCAGTGGGTGATGGCAGACTTCTCTTCTTTATCCCAACCTTGAAAGGAAACCTTTCACAATTTCACTGTTAGGTATGACATTTCTTGTAGGTTTTTTACAGGTACCTTTACCAGATGAATGTGTTCCCTTCTATTGCTGATGTGTTACTAGGCTTTAAAAAAAAATTATTGTAAGTGGATATTGAGTACATTTTTTGCATCTTTAGAAGTGATCATTGCTTTTTCTCTTTTGATCCATTAGTATAATGAATTACATGTATCAATTTTTTATTTCTAAGTTTTATTTCTACAGCATTGTATACACATATAGATATATAATATATAAAATATGCAAACACATAAATATAATGAAAATAAAAAGCCTTAAATTAGCCTTTGAATCTGTATTTTAATTCTTAAAAATTATAATTCTACAGCACACCATATAGATCAATGAAAGCTATAGGGGTAAAAATATTCAAGTTCTTTACTCATATAAATTTATTGTTTAAAGATTTTATTTCTTTGCCACTTGCCTCCAAACTCTTTCTGAACTATTGTGTGCACTAAGTAGTCAAAAAGGTGATAATATCACTGAAAATTTAAAACAAAACAAAAGATACTAAAATCTTTGTCACCAAAGTCCAAAAATAAAAATATTCATAGGAACAGAAAAATTTAAAATTCTTTAAAATTGAAATTTAAAGGATTGTCAAATATTTAACCATTTCTCTCACTCAGATACAAGGATAACTAGGAATACGTTTATGTTAAGTCAACTGCAAGTGAAAATTTTTTAAAAACTTTATTTGCAGTATAAAAGTATGCAATTGTGTGGCATGAAGTCAAATAAATAATACTACAGCTATTGAAATACCCATGTGATTTGGGCAGTATATAAAATATCACTTAATAATCTGAGTCAAATTGACATTTGAAAGAACATTAAAGATCATTGTTGGTCTTTCTCTTTTTCATAATACCTTAGATTTTTCTAAGTTATGTGTTATATCTGGAGTTTCTTTTGTAGGAATCCAAACGTCAAATGAGTTATTTTTTAGATGCTTTTCTATTTCCTCAAGAAGACTTAGCTTTAAATGCATCTGTCCTCACGTGGCCTACGAAAATTAATCCAATCTTTGATGAAAATGAGGAGGTAAATATACTTTCAGTATATATTTTTGTATACTGACATTTTAAAGACCATGTTCACATTTAATTTTCATGCTTACTTGCCATCTACCTTTGAAAGTAATTCATGTGTCAATATGAGTTTGAGGCTGGCAACATTTATGGCCCTGCAGGTTTAAGACAAGCTGTTGGGCTTATCTCCCAAGACCTTGTGGTAAGTACTGAGGCTGATATTATTAATAAAAGTTAGAGGCTCAGCACCTGTAACACAGTGGTTATGGTGCCAGCCACATATATCGGGGCTGGTGGGTTTGAATCCAGCCCAGGCCAGCTAAAGAACAATGACAACTACAACAAAAAATAGCTGGGTGTTATGGCAGGCCCCTGTAGTCCCAGCTACTTGGGAGGGTGAGGCAAGAGAATTGCTTAAGCCCAAGAGTTTGAGGTTGCTGTGAGCTGTGACGCCACAGCTCTCTACTGAGGGTGACATAATGAGACTCTGTCTCAAAAAAAAAAAGTAAATAAAAGTTAGAAGTATGATATAAATTAATTATTGTAAGTATTTAATTATATGCTTTTCATTTTTTAAATCATTTAATATTCATAAAAATCACAAGTGCTCCCATTTCCTCTGTTTTATAGATTTAAAAAATGAGACTCAGATAATCAATATCACAAAGATAAGAGGTGGTATATTCAGACTGACTATATTTCAGATTCTGAAGTATTAATGTTAACCAGTTGATCCTAAATTGAGGGCTAAGATGTATTAAAGGAAAGCATGGGCTTCAATCAGATAAACCAAGATTCTAATCCAGATTTTGACTTTTATGCTTCTATAAACTTGGACGTGCTATTTGACTTCCATAAACCTTAATTTCTTCATCTCTGAAATGAGAATGATAATAATAATACATGTGATAATGTGGGTAAGATATTTAATAGTTCTTAATATAATACATGGCATGTGCTCAATAAGTGGTGTTTTTTATTATTATTCAAGAATCTGTTAAGTAATTAAAGTATCTAATTGATAAATAAAGAGGAAAGTCACTTTGATAGCTAGGAGAAATTTTCTGTGTGATTTATTATACTTTGCATTTTTATATCAGTCATTACAGACAATGTTTTAGTTTTGTATTCCTTACTTTTCTGATTTTTTTTACTATACAAAACATTTAGATTTCTGATTTGGTAACTCTTTCTTTGTAATAGAATAACTAACATATTAAATTGTCTTTTAAAAAGCTCATTGAGAATGCTAAACAAAGAAAAGAAAATGAACTAATAGCCAAGAGAGAGAAACTGATTTTGGAACTAGAAAAGGAGTCACGCCGCATGGAAGAATTTGCAGAATTTGCAGAGCTGGACAGGATGCAACAGGTCTGATAAATGTAAACGGCAATAATTATGGCGTGCTGATAGAATAATTCAGGACACATTAATAGAAATGTTAAAATATAGAAAAATACACGTACTATGGCAAAGACTTAACTGTTAGGCCTAGAATAGGAACTATTTTTTTCTTTTTTATGACTCAGTTTTCTACCTGTGGAGTAGACATCACCATATCTTTTGTTCTCTGTCGTAGTTATGTTGTGAAGTTAATGTTTAAAGTTACTGTATAAATGCAAGGACATATCCTATGTACTATTATATAATCTTATTTTTAGAATATTACTTGGATATTTCTTGAGCTAAAAAATTTTTTGCTTTCAGTATGTGACAGATGTAAGACAACTACAAAAACGTATTCAAGAATCTGAAGAAGCAGTTCAGTTCATTAATAAGGAAGAGGAACTTTTCAAATGGGAATTGACAAAATATCCTGAACTGGATAAATTGAAAGTTAACATTGAGCCCTATCAGAAGTTTTTTAATTTTGTTTTGAAGTGGCAACGATCAGAAAAACGGTAATTTCTGGTGATGTAATAAAAATTAAGGAAATTTTATAAAACAATTTGTAAAATTCAAATTGATTTGTTTTTAGTTAAGTGTTTAGAAGTAGAATATATCTATCCATTGAAAAAGAACCAGCTATCTAGGAGAAGCATGAAATGCTGCTAAAGCACCACTAACCTTACTAATACAATATTTGAGATACTTTTGTGTTTCTTAACTATGACGATTAGGTTTTCACACTTGTGTGTGAGATATGCCTTTCACAAACCATGGTACACTGTCTGGACATTACCCACTTAACATAAAATAAATATATATACTACACATATATATATATAATTTTAGAATTGTCATTGGGTTTTCCAGAGTCAAGTCACTTTAAATGCAGCTAATTAATTTAAGTAATGTTTACACCCAAAATTAGAAGTATGGTATCAAATCTGTCTTTTCTTTGAATACTGTTAGTCACTCATTTATAATCTGATACATATTTTAGCACACGTAGTATAGCTAAAATGATGATTTTAGTCTTTCCTACCATCAGCTCCACTTGTGTGTGACTAAGGAAAACAGTTACGAGCCCTTTTGTCTCTCTTATAAAAATGAGGGGTCTAGCCTAAAGGATCTGTAAGGTCCCTTCAAACTCCAAAAGTTTGGGTTTAATAATATTTTTTCTTTCACTTCAGGTGGATGGATGGAGGATTTTTGGACCTCAATGGGGAAAGCATGGAAGCTGATGTAGAAGAGTTTTCTCGAGAAATTTTTAAGACACTGAAATTTTTCCAAACAAAGCAAAAGAAAGAATTGCAAGAAAAACGAAAGGCAGCAAGAAAACGATCTGTAGAGGAAGATAGACCTGAAGAAGAACCAAAGGAGACTCCTACTATTACTATGTGCAACACAGTAATGGACCAGATTAAAGTTTTTAAGGTATAAACATATTTAATGACACTTAATTTTTTTCCAGTGGTATAAAAATACTAGAAAATTAATGACACTTTAATATTATATGTGTAGATATCTTTTCAACTTTCTGTTGCCAAATACATAAATTATAAAACCCATCCTCTGTTCTTATGCTTTAAACAGTAGTCTAGTTGGGTGTAAAATGTGTTTGGTCAGTTTGTAGACAGTCTTATCCTCAGTGGGCATCTGACCAAGGGTGAACCAATCCTAATCACCATCTCTCTGGCTATACTGATTAGTTCAGGGATAAGCATGTAACCCAAACTGGCCCAGAGTTCTCCTTGGAGATCGGGGTCTGGGAAAGGAAGCCTCTTTTTGTCTGCTCACAAGCTATAAAGATATGAAGCTTTGAAGCTATGAAGATATGAGACTTTACAGCTCCCTGGAGCTGCAAAGTAGGTGGCTTAAGAGAATATTGTTGATAAGTAAAGATACTTAGAGAGTGCCTGTGGTTACTCTCCTAGGCCCCAGAATCCAGAGGCTTGAGACATTCACCTCAGCTTTGTCTCCCTTTGAACATGGAACCTAATTGTGTTTTCCTCCTGCCCCCACCTTTTTTCTCTCTTTGGCTAATGAATTGTGTCTCTGTCACTTGTGATCAAAAGAGTGGGACCAAATGAAGGTATTGAGGAAAAATAATCAGAAAAATATATTATTTTGGCCCCTTATCTATGACTCAGCATCTTGTCTAAGTTCTGACTCAGTCCCATCTTCTCTTTTGGCATGGGTATTGTGAAAGGACTGAGTGTTTTGGGGAGGAGGTGGTAAAGGCAGAGAGGGAACTCTATTTCTCTCATCTTTTGAGTAATATCTTTTTACATCTTTAAAAAAATTTAAATTTGTTCTTATTTTACTTTATTTAGAGATGAAGTATTGCTGTCACCCGGGTTGGAGTGTAGTGGCATGATCATAGCCTACTGTAGTCTCTAACTCCTTGGCTACAGTGATCCTCCTATTTCAGTCTCCCAAGTAGCTGGGACTTCAGGCACACACCACAATGCCTGGATAATTTTTAAAATTTTTACAGAGACAATCTCTTGCTGTGTTGCTTAGGCTGGTCTTGAACTCCTGGCTTTAAGGCATCCTCCCATCTTGGCTTCCCAAAGTGCTGGTCTTATAGGTGTGAGCCACTGCATACAACACTGAGATTTAAGAATTACCCAGGAAAGCTCTGATAGAACTATTCCTATCACCAAGTGCTAAGGAGAAAAATAAAAAGATTTGAAAGCAAAACCAAATCTCATTTATTTGAGATTTGATACAGATTTTCCCCCATTCATATGTGTGTATGTGTATTTATAACTATATATTATATTTTATTAATTTCTACATGTTGTATATGTAAAAAATTTGAATTTCTAAAATAACACCCTAGTTTTAATTACCATGTTTTATCATACGTTTTAAAATCTCATAGACCATTTACCCTCCATTCTTCTTTTTTGCTCTTATAATTTCCCTGGCTATTTTTACAGATGACTGTCAGAATCATTTTGTTAATTTCTCTCCCTCCAAAATGAATTGAGATTTTGATTGTATTCATATAAATATATTTAGTAATTTGAAAAACTGTAATCTTTATACTATCAAGACTTACAATATGTATGTGTAGAAGCAAATGACTGACTCATTATTGTTAATATTTTCACCATTAGGAATATGTCCCTACTGTCTCCATTCTGTGCAATCCAGGAATGAGAGCTCGTCACTGGAAACAGATGTCAGATATTGTAGGCTTTGATTTGACTCCAGACTCTGGAACTACACTGAGAAAAGTTTTAAAATTAAACCTTTCACCATACTTAGAAAAATTTGAAGTGATAAGTGCAGGTGCAAGCAAGGTAAACATAAAGATCATCTGAAATACTTTATTTGATGAGTTTGTCAATCAAGTAACCATTGTTTGTTTGTTTGTTTGTTTGTGGTTGAATGTATATAGTATAGCAGTGAGAGGAGATGGGAGTAAATGAGAGCAGACCACTCTTTTTTCCCCACAAAATATGTGCTTACTTGGCCTGACTCTAGACTAGAAATAATCTATTTGACTTCTTAATTCTGCCATGTTCTAATATAATTTTATGATATGCTAGTATTGATACATAATTTTTCTATTAAGGATGCTAGGTGGAGATATACAGTGTGTCCATAAAGTTCATGTGCAATTTAAAATAGTTTACTATTTTATGGACACCCTCTATATGGCATGTGTTGTATATGTGTGCTAGCAAAGTAAATATGGCTCTAGACTGAGGAAGAGTTCTTGAAATAGACAGACTATAGGTTGCCTTCAAAAAGCGTACTTCAGAGAAAGTCTAGTAGGCATTTTATTCTGATTCCCGTTGTTTGTTTAATTATGTTTGTGATTTTGTTTCGTTGTTTTTTTGTTTTTTGTTTTTTTTTTTTTTCATTTTGAGACAGAGTCTCACTCTCTTGCCTGGGCCTAAGTGCGGTGGCATCATCACAGCTCACTGCAACCGTAAACTCCCAGGCTCAAGTGATTCTCCTGCCCCAGTCTCCTGAGTAGCTGGGACAATAGCTACTTGCTACTACACCTGGCTAGTTGTTTTATTTTTTTGTACAGAAGGGGTCTCACTCTTGCTCAGGATGCTCTTGAATTCCTGGTCTCAAGCAATTCTCCTGCTTCAACCTCCCACAGCGCTAGGATTACAGGTGTCAGCCACTACACCCAGCTCCTAATGTCCATTTTAATACTAATAGCTGTAGTTTTTTAGCAAGTGAGTTTTTTAAAACTATATAATCATTCTTCTCAGGAATTTTTAAATTATTAAAAAACATCCTAAATTAAAAAAATATATACAATAGTCACAGATTATCCTAATGAAATGATAATGTACATCAAATGCTTACTGAATGAATTTACTATGTAAGGTCTATATAATAAATAATATCCTTCACTATCCCATCTTCTCTTTTTTTTAATTGGAGAAGAGGCATACAAATTTATTTAACATGTATACATGGGGAGAATCAACAGAATGAGTACCTCTATTCCATTCTCTCTTCATTCTTCCTTTTTAGGAATTTTCATTAGAGAAAGCCATGCATACAATGATAGAAACTTGGGATGATATTGCTTTTCATATAAGTCTATATCGTGATACTGGAGTCTGTATTCTTTCTTCAGTTGATGAGATTCAGGCTATCCTTGATGATCAAATTATTAAAACTCAGACAATGAGAGGCTCACCTTTCATCAAACCCTTTGAAAAAGAGATCAAGGTATGTAGAATATGATAGTCAGCTCTTGTTTAGTTATAAAATTTATAATCTTATTACATATGTGTTCTCATAAAAATAAGTGAGTTTGCTGGATTTTTTTAAATGTTCATTCAAATCATAGGCCTCTACTGTTGGTAATTTATCTGGTGAATTATAATAATAGATACTAAAATTACCATAGAAATATCTAGAACAGAACTGAGATATTGACCAATGATTTTGAAAAGAAAAATTATGTTTTATTTAAATCTTCTCCAATGACACTGACTGCATTGAAAGAAAAGCAGTTGGTATTATTTATTCTAACTTCATAAAGCCTAGACTGTTTTATGTTGCATTCTTGCAACTTGTAGTAAAGTTCTGTGTACCATACTTTAATTGTATTTGTGGGTATTTTAGAGCAATTAAGGATTTATTGTCCATTTGAGAAAGCCAAATGGTACTTGAGGCTGCAAGATTTTTCATATCTTTTTAGTTGATGTGGGTAAAGACAGAAAGCAAACAAATTATGATAACTAATAGCTTCATAGGTATTATCAAAGTTCTAACTGGGGGACTTATATAAATTGGGGAAAGACAAACAACTGGATTTTTTTTTATCCCAATAGTGATTTATTTCTAAATATGTGCCAGTTAATGCTCTAGGAACTTTACATTCATTAACCCATTTAATCCCCACAGCAGCCCTTCAAGGTAGGCACTATTACTATTTGTACTCATAAATAACGAAGCCAAAGTATAGGAGGACAAGTAATTTGCTCAAGTTCACCTAGCTAATAAATAACAGAGCTGGAATTCAAACGAAGAAAGTCTGGTTTTAATTTATGCACAAATAGTGCTTTATAAAAGATAATAACAAATATTATTTGGGAAAAGCATAGTAATGTTGTTCCAAGAGCCATAAGGCTGGACGTTTTCCCATGAATCAGGTTAGCCTATCCTCCTACCTTTTTTTTTTTTTTTTTTTTACTAAGAGATGGAGTCTGGCTCTATTGCTTAGACTAGAGTGCTGTGGTACAATCATAGTTAACTATAACATCAAACCCCTGGGCTAAAATGATCCTTCAGCCTTCAGTCTCCAGTGTAGCTAGGGCTACAAGCATGTACCAGTATGCCCAGCTATTTTTTTATTTTTTATTTTTTATGGGGATGATGTGTTGCTATGTTACTCAAGGTTATCTCAAACTCTTGGCCTCAAAATATTTTTCTGCCTTAGCCTCCCCAAGTACTAGGATTGTAGGCATGAGCTACCTAACCTGGCCTGGCCTAATCTCGTGAACCAAAAGAGAGACTATATGAATGGTCTTTAGCTAATGAAATAATCTTTGTCAACTCCAGGGGATCTATGAAAATAAGGAAGCTTTTTTTTTCCATTTTATTTTATTTTTCTCCAAATTGTATTGATATGGAGCAATGGCACAGTTGATATTTTGGACTCTATAATTCTTTCTTATTGGGGCTGTCCTGTATATTGTAGGACATTTAGCTAGATCTCTGATTTCTACCCACTAGAATCCAGTACTAATACAGGGTTCCCCCATTCGGGGCTGGACAGGGACCCCCATTTCCTAGGCCTAGGTAATTTCATGTAAGTAGGACTCTTCTGAAGTGGACTCTCTGTCATTGTACCTAGAGCTGGAGGGATTATATTCATTTGTTAATATGTTCATCCACACTGAAAAAGTGTCTTCCATCTACCAAGTCCTGGCCAAATATAATTCTCAAGACCT